ATCCCGCTTTTCCCATTTCCAGTCCCGCTTTTCCCATTTCCAGTCCCGCTTTTCCCATTTCCAATCCCGCTTTTCCCATTTCCAGTCCCGCTTTTCCCATTTCCAATCCCGCTTTTCCCATTTCCAGTCCCGCTTTTCCCATTTCCAGTCCCGCTTTTCCCGCAGTTTTCCTGTTTCCAATCCTGGTTTTTCTCATGGTTTTCCCATTTCCAATCCCAGTTTTTTCCCTGTGGTTTTCCCGTTTCCAATCCTGGTTTCCAATCCCGGTTTTCCCAAACTTTTCCCATTTCCAATCTCGGTTTTTCCTGTGGTTTTCCTGTTTCCAATCCCAGTTTCCAATCCCGGTTTTTCCTGCGGTTTTCCTGTTTCCAATCCCATTTTTCCCATTTTTAATCCCGGTTTCCAATCCCAGTTTTCCCACACTTTTCCCATTTCCAATCTCGGTTTTTCCTGTGGTTTTCCTGTTTCAAATCCCGGTTTCCAATCCCGTTTTTCCCATTTCCAATCCCGTTTTTCCCCGCAGCTTTCCTGTTTCAAATCCCGTTTTCCCGTTTCCAGTCCTGTTTTTTCCTGCAGTTTTCCCATTTCCAATCCCAGTTTTCCCATTTCTAGTCCCGCTTTTCCCGCAGTTTTCCCATTTCCAATCCCAGTTTTTCCTGTGGTTTTCCTGTTTCCAATCCCGGTTTTTCCCGTTTTTAATCCCAGTTTCCAATCCCAGTTTTCCCATTTCCAATCCCGGTTTTTCCTGCGGTTTTCCTGTTTCCAATCCCGGTGTCCAATCCTGTTTTTCCCGTTTCCAATCCTGGTTTTTTCCCCGCAGCTTTCCTGTTTCCAATCCCGCTTTTCCCATTTCCAGTCTCGCTTTTCCCATTTCCAATCCCGCTTTTCCCATTTCCAATCCCGCTTTTCCCATTTCCAATCCCGGTTTTCCCGCAGTTTTCCCGTTTCCAATCCCAGTTTTTCCCTGCAGTTTTCCCGTTTCCAATCCCGGTTTTTCCTGTGGTTTTCCTATTTCCAATCCCGGTTTCCAATCCCGTTTTTTCCTGCAGCTTTCCCGTTTCCAATCCCGTTTTTCCCGCTGTCCCCAGGCGCACGTTCGTGTTCGGGGCCGTGCTGGATTCCCAGGATTTGGCCTTTTCCGACCCCACTCCGGATGGGCGGAGCCTGGCGGCCGCCTACTGCAACCGGCCCGACTTCCTGGTCTGCAGCTTCCTGCCGGGATCCCCAGGATCACCGGGATCGGGATCAGCGGGATCACCGGGATCCCCGGGATGGGCGGGATCGGACGGATCGGGATCACCAGGATCCCCAAAATCAGCGGGATCGGGATCAGAGGGATCCCTGAAATCAGCAGAATCGGGATCAGAGGGATCCCTGGGATCAGCGGGATTGGGATCAGAGGGATCCCTGGGATCAGCCGGATCCCTGAAATCAGCGGGATCAGTGAAATCCTTGGGATCGGCCAGATCGGGATCAGAGGGATCCCCGAAATCAGCGGGATCAGGATCAGCCGGAGCCCTGAAATCAGCGGGATCGGGATCAGCGGGATCCTTGGGATCAGCCGGATCCCTGAAATCAGCGGGATCAGTGAAATCCTTGGGATCGGCCAGATCGGGATCAGAGGGATCCCCGAAATCAGTGGGGTCAGGATCAGCCGGAGCCCAGAAATCAGCGGGATTGGGATCAGCGGGATCAGCGAAATCAGCAGGATCCCTGAAATCCGTGGGATCGGTTGGATTGGGAGCCACGGGATCCCTGGGATCAGCGGGATCGGCCGGATCGGGATCAGAGGGATCCCTGAAATCAGCGGGATCAGAGGGATCAGCGGGATCCATGAAATCCTTGGGATTGGCCGGATCGGGATCAGAGGGATCCCCGAAATCAGCAGGATCCCCAGGATCAGCAAAACCAGCGGGATCCGTTAAATCCTTGGGATCAGCTGGTTTGGGAGCCACGGGATCCCTGGGATCAGCCGGATCGGGATCAGAGGGATCCCTGAAATCAGCGGGATCGGGATCAGCCGGATCAGCAAAACCAGCGGGATCCCCGAAATCCTTGGGATTGGCTGGATCGGAGTCAGAGGGATCAGCGGGATCCGTGAAATCCTTGGGATCAGCTGGATTGGGATCGGGGAAATCATCTGGATCGGGATCAGTGGGATCAGCAGGATCAGGATCTGCGAAATCAGAGGGATCCACTGGATTGGGATCAGTGAAATCATCTGGATTGGGAGCCACGGGATCCCTGGAATCAGCAGGATCGGGATCAGCAAAATCCTTGGGATCGGCTGGATCGGGATCAGCGGGATCCCTGGAACGATCAGGATCGGCGGGATCGGCATCCGCGGGATCCACCGGCTCAGGATCCCTGGAATCCTCGGGATCCTCATGAATTCCTGAGGGGCTGCAAAGGCCGGGATGGATCCGGCCGGGATCCCAAGGGATCCTTCCCTAAATCCCTCGGGAATCTTTTCCCTCCCCATCCCTCGGGAACCCCTCCCCGCTCCGTTCCACCGGAATTCCTGGAATTCTGCCGGGATTCCTTTGGGATTTCAGCGATTTGGGCTCGGGAATCCCTTCCCAAGGATTTTCCCGACGGATCAGCACCAGGAGCCACCCAGGAGGGAAATTCCAGGCGTTTTCCTGGGAAGATTCCCGGGTTTTGTGAGGCCATCCCGTGGATTTCTGAGCAGATTCCCGGTTTTTGTGGAAATATTCCCAGGTTTTCTGATGTTATCCCATAGATTTATAGAAATATTCCAGAGTTTTTATGGAAATATTCCCAAGTTTTATGGAAGTATTCCCAGGTTTTGTGATGATATCCCATAGATTTATGGAAATATTCCCAGTTTTTATGGAAGTATTCCCAAGTTTTATGGAAATATTCCAAGGTTTTGTGTTATCCCATAGATTCATGGCAGTATTCCCAGGTTTTATGAAAATATTCCCAAGTTCTTATGGAAACATTCCAAGGTTTTATGACAATATCCCATAAATTCCTGACAATATTCCAAGGTTTTCTGGTGTTTCCTGGGAACATTCCAAGGTTTTCTGAGGGGATATTCCCGGGGTTTTTCTGGGAATATTCCGGGGGTTTTTGGAGGATGTTCCCACCCCCCTCAGATTCCCAAAATCCTGGAAAAATCCACCAGTGCCAGGGATAGGGAGGGATCCGTTTATTGGGAATGGTTGGGAAAGTTCCGGAGGGAAAACCGGGAAAAAATTCCAACGGGGAAAAAGGGGAAAATTCCAAGAGAAAGAAAAGGGAAAACTCCAATAAAAAAAGAAGTAAAATTCCAAGGAAAAAAAAAAAAAAAAAGGGAAAATTCCAATTAAATAAAACTGAAAAATTCCGAGAAAAAAAAAAAAAGTGGGAAAATTCCAATAAAAAAAGAGGGAAAATTCCAGTGAAGGAAATGAGGGAAAATTGAACCCCAAGGAAGGAAAATCCAATGGGAAAACTCGGGAATTCCAGCCCGAAAAAAGACGGAAAAATCCAGCTGGGAAAGGAGGGAAAATCTGGGAAAAAAACCTCAGGAAAATCCAAATCCCCAAAAACTTGGGATAATCCAACTGGGAAAAAACGGGGAAAATCCAACTCCCAACCTGGGAGAATCCAACGGGAAAACTTGGGAAGATCCAGGGGGGAAAAAAAGAGGGAAAATCCCACGTGGAAAAAAAAAGGAAATCCAACTGGAAAAGTTGGGAAAAATTTCCAAACCCAAATCTGGGGAAATCCATCCCGGAATTCTGGGAATGGGAGGGACACAATTCCGGGCGCTCCCAGAGCCGGGAACGGCTCCGTGGGAATCTGGGAATGTCAGGGCTCCGGAGCCACGTCTCAATGGAAATTCGGGAATGCTTGGGCTCTGGAAATCCGGGAATATGGAGGCTCTAGAGCCGCATCCCTCTGGAAATTTGGGAATGTCGGGGTCTGGAGATCTGGGAATATCAGAGCTCTGGAACTCTGGGAATGTCAGGGCTCTGGAACTCCAGGAATTTTGGGGCTCCAGAACCCCAGGAATGCCGGGTTCTGGAGCTCTGGGAATGTTTGGGCTCTGGAAATCCGGAAATGCCGGGGCTCTGGAGCTCCAGGAATTCCGGTGTTCTGGAGCTCTGTCCCCTCACTGGGTGAGGAATTCCTTGGGAATTCCCATGGGCAGCGGCTCCAGGGCTCAGCAGAGTTGGAAATCTGGGAATGTTGGGGCTGGAACTCCGGGAATTTCGGGGCTCTGGAACTCCAGGAATGTCAGGGCTCCAGAACTCTGGGAATTCCGGAGCTCCGTGCCCTCACTCCAGGAGTTCCTGGGGAATTCCCATGGGCAGCGGCTCCAGGGCCTGGCAGAGTTGGAAACCTGGGAATGTCGGGGCTGGAACTCCGGGAATGCCGGGGCTCTGGAGCTCCAGGAATGCAGGAATTCCGGAGCTCTGGGAGTGCTGTTCCCTCACTCCAGCAGTTCCTGTGGAATTGCCATGGGCAGCGNAGAACAATTCCCGCACGGATCCCAGCGCCGGATCCAGCGCCGCCTCCGCCGGCAGCGGCGGCCGCGAGCCCAAACGCGCCCGGAACTGCCGCTCCCAGGAATCCTCGGAATCCTCCGAGCAGCGGGAATCCTCGGAGCGCAGGGAATCCTCGGAGCGCAGGGAATCCTCCGAGGAGAAGGAATCCTCTGGAATGGCGGCAGAGAGCGGCCGTTGGAAGCGGATCCCAGGAATTCCGGGAATTCCAGCCCTGATATTCCCAGTTATCCCAGCCCGGAATCCCAGATATTCCAGACCCATCCGATGTTCCCGGAGTGATCCCAGCCTGGAATCCCAGATATTCCAGCCCTGATGTTCCCGGGGTGGTCCCAGCCCAGCCTTGGGCATTCGCAGAATTCTGAGGTTCCCAAATCCCAGCCCTGTCCCAACATTCCGGGCCCTTTTCCCAAATCCCGCTCTGCCTCTCCAGGATTGGGTCCAGCCCCATCCCGACCCCTCGCCAGGAAGGAATTTTGGGAATTCCCAACTCCAGGAAGGGTCTCCCTTCCCTTTCCCATCCCTGAATTTCATAAAAATCCCTCGGGATGGATCCTGAGTGTCCTCGATCCCAGAATGCCGGAATTCCTTGGGATGGGATCCATGGACCTTCAATCCCATCCCATTCCAATCCCGGGCTGCTCCAGCCTTTCCTTGGATGCTCCCAGGGATTCTCTGGGAATTCCTTCCTGAGCTCCCAGCCCAATTCCTCTTCCCAGGAATCCCATTCCCTGCCAGCCCCTCCCCAATCCCAATTCCAATCAAATTCCCAATCCCAATTCAACCCCAATCCCATTCCCGAGCCAATCCCATCCCAATCCCAGGTCAGTCCGATCCGATTCCCATTCCAATCCAAATCAGTTCCCAATCTGATCCTGTTCCCACTCCAATTCCAAATCAAATCCCATTTCCAGTTCTTCTCCCAATCCAATCCCATTCCTGATCCCAATCCCGTTCCAAATCCCATTCCCTGCTTGACCCTAATCCAATCCCAATCCAGTCCAATCCAATCCGACTCCCAATCCCATCCCCAATCCCACTCCTAATTCCAATCCTATTCCTGAATCCCATCCCAACCCCATCCCCAATCCCACTAATCCCAATCCCAATCTGACCCTAATCCAATCCCACTCTCGCTCCAAATTCCATCCCATTCCCAATCCCAATCCCTTTCCAATTCCCAATCCATTCCCAATTCCACTCCCATCCCCAATCCCAACCCGTTTCCCATTCCCGCTCCCCTCTCTGGATCCCGCTCTTCCCATTCCCGCTCTTCCCATTGTTCCCGTTTCCGCTGTTATTCCCACTGTTATTCCTGCTGTTATTCCTGCTGTTGTTCCCATTGTTCCCGTTGTTCCCACTGTTATTCCCACTGTTATTCCCATTGTTGTTATTCCCGCTGTTCCCATTGCTCCTGCTGTTATTCCTGCTGTAGTTCCCACTGTTGTTATTCCCACTCTTCCCATTGTTCCCGCTGTTGTTATTCCCACTGTTCCCATTCCCGCTGTTCCCATTGTTCCCACTGTTCCCATTGTTCTTTCTGTTGTTATTCCCATTGTTCCCGCTGTTCCCATTCCCGCTGTTCCCACTGTTGCTATTGTTCCCACTGTTGTTATTCCCACTGTTCCCATTCCCGCTTTTCCCACTCCCATTCCCGGTTATTCCCATTGTTCCCGCTGTTCCCACTCCCATTCCCACTGTTATTCCCATTGTTCCCGCTGTTCCCATTCCCGCTGTTCCCACTGTTCCCATTCCCACTGTTCCCATTCCCGCTTTTCCCACTCCCATTCCCGCTGTTATTCCCGCTGTTCCCACTGTTATTCCCATTGTTCCGGCTGTTCCCGTTCCGGCTGTTGTTCGCACCGCTGCAGTCGGGCAGGTGGGGCACGCTCAGCGCCAGCATCTCCCACAGCGTCAGCCCCAGCGGGAAAATGTCGGAGCGATCCGAGATGATCCCGCCCGGCTCCAGCGCCTCCGGAGGCAGCCACGGCTCCGTCCCCACGTACGGCTGCTCGGGATCGCGCGCTGCCGACGGAACGCGGCGGGAACGACGTCGGGAACACCGGGAACAATGGGAACAACGTCAGGAATGACATTGGGAACACCGGGAATGATGTTGGGAACAAAGGGAACACCGGGAACAACATCAGGAATGACATCAGGAACACCAGGAATGGATCGGGATTGGATCGGGAATGGGATCGGATCAGGAACGGGATCGGATTGGGAATGGGATCGGATTGGGAACAGAATCAGATCAGGAATGGGATCGGATTGGGAATGGGATCAGATCAGGAACGGGATTGGATTGGGAATGGGATCAGATTGGGAACAGGATCAGATCAGGAACGGGATTGGATTGGGAATGGGATCGGATTGGGAATGGGATCAGGATCAGGATCAGATTGGGAACAGGACTGGGAATGGATCGGGATGGGGAATGGGATTGGGGATGGATGGGAGAGGGATTGGGATCGGGAGTAGATTGGGAATGGGATGGGGAATGGGATTAAAAACAGGATCAGATTGGGAATGGGATCAGATCAGGAATGGGATCGGATTGGGAATGGGATCGGATTGGATTGGACTGGATTGGGATTTGATTTGGAATTGGGCTGGGAATAGGATGGAACTGGGAATGGGATTGGGAATGGGGTGGGATTGGGAATGGGGTCCCAGGAAAAGCCGCACTCCCACAGGGATTCCCGAGCCCCTTTTCCCGGGAATTCCAGCCTCCCGGGTGGATTCCCAGAGCCCGGGGGATCCCTCCAGGAGATCCAGGAGCCTCCAGCTCCACAATTCCCAAGGAACCGGATCCCTTCCCGCATTCCCAAGGAACCGGATCCCTTCCCGCATTCCCAAGGAACCGGCGGCGTTCCTGGGGTTCCAGCACCTTCCAGGTTCTCGTCCAGGGCCAGGGCGACTCCGACGTCGCAGATTTTGACGGATTCGAAGGCCCCGCGCACGACGACGTTCGGGGATTTGATGTCACCGTGGAGCAGCCGCTGCTCCGTGTGTAGGTACTGCCGGAGGGAACAACAACAGCCAGATAAACAACAGCCGGATAAACAACAGCCGGATAAACAACAGCAGCTGGATAAACAACAGCCGGATAAACAACAGCCGGATAAACAACAGCAGCTGGATAAACAACAGCCGGATAAACAACAGCAGCTGGATAAACAACAGCAGCTGGATAAACAACAGCAGCCGGATAAACAACAGCAGCCGGATAAACAACAGCAACTGCTGTGGGACAAAGCAACAGCACCGGGAAAAAGAACAGTGGGAAAAACAACAACAGCCAGATAAACAACAACTGCTGGAAAAACAACAGCCGGAAAAACAACAGCAACAGCTGTGGGACAAAGCAACAACACCAGGAAAAACAACAACAGCAGGGAAAACAACAGCCGGATAAACAACAACAGCAGCTGTGGGACAAAACAACAACAGCGGGAAAAAGAACAGCAGGAAAAACAACAACAGCAGGGAAAACTAACACCAGGAAAAACAACAACTGCTGTGGGACAAAGCAGCAACAGCGGGAAAAACACCAGGAAAAACAACAGCGGGAAAAAACAACAACTGTGGGACGAAACAACACCAGGAAAAATAACAACAGCGGGAAAAATAACAACTGCAGGAGGGAAAAACAACAGCCAAGGGAGGTAAAAACAAACAACAACTGTGGGACAAAACAACAGCGGGAAGGAAAAACAACAGTGGGAAAAATAACAGGAAATATAACAGCGGGAGAAACAACAGTGGGAAGGAAAAGCAACAGCAGGAAAAATAACAGCGGGAAAAACAACAATGGGAAAAAATCGGACATGGGGAAGCCCCCCCAGAGCCGCCCTCGGAACCTCGGGATCCGCTCTGAGCCCGGCTCCCCTTTCCCAGGGAATTCCGTCCCTTCCCAGATTTCCCAGCCTGGGCTTGGGCCCAGCCCCATCCCGGCTCCTCTCCGGGGAGGGATTCCAGGAATTCCCAACTCCAGGAAGGGTCTCCCTTGCCTTTCCCATCCCCAAATTCCATAAAAATCCCTCGGGATGGATCCTGAGTGTCCTCGATCCCAGAATGCCGGAATTCCTTGGGATGGGATCCATGGACCTTCAATCCCACCCCATTCCCATCCCAGGCTGCTCCAGCTTTTCCTTGGATGCTCCCAGAGATTCCCTGGGAATTCCTTCCCGAGCTCCCGCCCATCCCCATCCCAACCCCCTCCAGCACCTGGAAAGCCGCCCTGGCTCCCCCTTTTCCCAGAATTCCATGAGTTTCCCAGAATCCCAGGCTTTTCCTGGAATCCCTGGCTTTTCCCAGTATTCCCAGGATTTTCCCAGCCTTTCCTGCCGTTGTTCCCAGTGTTGTTCCTGCTTTTTTCCTTGGTGTTTTTCCTGGCACATTCCCGCTGTTTTCCCAGTGTATTCCTGTTATTCCCAGCTCATTCCTGCTGCATTCCCGCTGTATTCCCATTATTCCTGGTTTTGTTCGCGCTGTATTCCCATTATTCCTGGTTTTGTTCCCGCTGTATTCCCATTATTCCCAGCTTTGTTCCTGCTGCATTCCTGTAATTCCTGGTGCATTCCCACTATTCCTGGCATGTTCCTGCTGCATTCCCACTGTTATTCCTGCTATTATTCCCATTGTTATTCCTGTTCCCATTATTCCTGCTATTATTCCCACCATTATTCCCATTCCCGTTGTTGTTATTCCCGTTATTATTCCCATTATTCCCGCTGTTGTTGTTCCTGTTCCTGTTATTCCCGCTGTTGTTCTTCCCACTATTCCCATTGTTATTCCTGTTATTCCCACTGTTGTTCCCATTCCTGCTGTTGTTATTCCCACTGTTGTTGTTATTCCCGTTATCCCAGGTTATTCCTGCTGTTATTCCCGCTGTTCCCACTGTAATTCCCGCTGTTCCCATTATTCCCACTGTTATTCCCGCTGTTGTTCCTGTTGTTATTCCTGCTGTTCCCGTTATTCCCGCTATCATTCCCGCTGTTGTTCCCGTTGTTGTTCTTCCCGTTGTAGTTGTTATTCCCGTTGTTATTCCCATTATCATTCCCGCTGTTGTTCCCATTGTTGTTATTCCTGCCGTTGTTGTTCCCGTTATTATTCCCATTGTTCCCCACTGTTATTCCGGGTGTTGTTGTTCCGACTGTTGTTATTCCGGCTGTTGTTGTTGCCGTTACCTGCAGCCCCCGGGCCACGCCCAGCCCGACGCGCAGGACGGCTCCGGCGGGAAAGGCCCCGCGGCCGCGCTCCCGGCGCTCCTGGATCCGATCCCACAGGGAACGCTCGCCCCCGAATTCCATGGCCAGGCAGAGATTCCCGTCGGGAGCCACAGCCAGAGCCCGGTACCCTGGGAATGGTCCGGGGGGAAATCATCAGCCGGGGGAAATATTCCATGGGAAATAAAATCCATGGGAAATAATCCAGGGGAAATATTCCATGGGAAACAAAATCCATGGGAAATAATCCAGGGGAAATGATCCATGGGAAATAAAATCCATGGGAAATAATCCAGGGGAAATATTCCATGGGAAATGATCCATGGGAAATTATCTGTGGGAAATATAATTCATGGGAAATCTAATCCAGGGGAAGGAATCCATGGGAAATCATCCATGGGAAATAAAATCCATGGGAAATATTCCATGGGGAATTATCCATGGGAAATCTAATCCATAGGTAATCTAATCCATGGGAAAATGATCCATGGGAAATATTCCATGGGAAATATTCCATGAGAAATCATCCATGGGAAGTATTCCATGGGAAATATTCCATGGGAAATATAATCCTTGGGAAATAAAATCCATGGGAAATATAATCCAGGGGAAGGAATCCACAGGAAATATTCCATGGGAAATGATCCATGGAAAATAAAATCCATAGGAAATCTAATCCATGGGAAATTATCCATGGGAAATATTCCGTGGGAAATCTAATCCATGAATATGGAAATATGGAAAATCCCAGAAATGGGAATATGGGAAATCCCTGGGAGCCAGGAATGGGATCCATGGGATTTCTGGGAATGGCATCCCTGGGATCCAGGGAAGGGGGAAATGGGATTCATGGGAATGGGGTTGGATCGATGGGATGGGGATGGGATTTGGGGGAATGGGGTCCAGGGAATGGGAACTGTGGGAATGGGATTGGATTGATGGGGTGGGAATGGGATCTGTGGGAATGGGAACAGGAATGGGATTGATGGGATGGGAATGGGATCTGTTCCCATGAATCCAACCCCGCCATTCCCCTGGGAAAGGGGATCCATGGGAATGGGAGTGGGGACAGGAATGGGATGGG